CTACATAAAGAGAAGCTAATTGTTGCCCAGTTATGCCCGACCTTCTATTTTGTAGGTTGGTGAAAGGAGGTTGTCAAGAGTTTCATGAGAGAATAGCAAGCACTTCATGGTAATCCTTTCTCTGGTCCTATTCAATTTTTTCCTGATCGGATAAACGAAGGTGAGTGTAACATGACACAGCTTCATAGAGCCTACATGGGAAGTCAACAGGAAGATGTCACTTGCATGTAAGAGTGGCTTCTTTCCAAATATCGAGCAGATTAATTCCACAACAATAGATTTCAATGGAAAAAACATATTTGAAGTAATACTTCCTTACAAATCCCTCTGCCCTAAGACACCGTCCCTCCACAGAATTTCATTTCATGCATACATATACTGCAAGCAAAGATCTTCTTGTCTTTGCCAAACACTTTTCATCTGGGATTTCATTAATATTATGATTAATAACGGACACAGAAAATAGTGCATGTGTGAACCAAAAAATGAAGATGTAAGCTAATTGGAAGCAAACCATCTCTAAATTATTTTAGATCTCCTGAACTTCTCTGATTTTTTTTTTTAAAAGATCTATTTCTTGTCTTGTTCAACACTTATTGTCAAAGCCTACTTAACCACCATGAAGCCCTGTGTGAGTGGGAAGACTTTAAGTTTAAAAGAAAGAAAGAAAGAAAGAAAGAAAGAAAGAAAGAAAGAAAGAAAGAGAACAGGAGAAAGAAAGAAAGAATCAAAGAAAGAGAGAGAGAGAGAGAAAGAAGAGCCTCTGGTCCTTTGGCCAAAATAACGGATAGTCTGAGCAAACTGAAATGGGAAAAAAATCCTTTACCTACAGCACATACCCCCCTCCGTCTTGGTGTCCCTTTCTTTACACCAGTTCTTCACCCAGAGGCACCAATGCCTTCATTCTGCTCAAGCTTCCTCCTGCTCTCTACCCAAATGTCATATGCCCCCCAATCTATCATGCTTCTTTCTCCCCAACCCTCCATGAAAAACTCAAATTCTGTTCAATCAGCTGACCTTGGCCTGGTGTGAGAAGGATCATACCAAGACTAACAACTTTGAACCAATTGGCAAATGATTCAAGGGCTTCCAGTGGAGAAGGAGTTTAAGAAGATGCCAATTTTCCTAAAGAGTTTTTAATGTGTGGGCATCTCAGGATGACAAAGGGAAAGAAGGTGGAAAGTTCAAGGATAGGATCTCAGGTAGCCTAGAGCAAGGGTCATCTATACAGCATCCATCCATCCACAAAGTCCCATTTCAGCGCAGGGGGCAGACTCGCCCACTGGAAGCGGGACTCCTGCCTACTGCATTTGCCTGCTGCTCTCAGAAGTCTCTCTACCCACTGTAAAGCTCGAAGTGACGAAGTGAGAGGCCCTCAGATCTGGCCAACAAGAAAAAGCCTCTTTGCCATTCCTGCTCCGGGGACTCCACAGCAAGCAGGCCTGTTCTAGAGAGGGTGCTCACCTCAGGGTCAGACTCCTTGGTGTTCTTGGAAGCACATTTTTCTCTTTCTTCAAATAGGCTACTAAATGGGTGGTGAAAAGGACTTGTTCCAATGACAGAGTTACTGTGGCTCAAAAACCTTTCAGGAATTCCTAGGACTTGCCTTCAGTACCAGCTTATAAAATACACATTCTCAATCTCTCTCGCTCTCCCTCCCCCTCTTTCTTTACCATGCACCTGCTCCCTCCTTCCTCTCTCCGCCCAGCCACTTGCTAATTACTGAGTTTATGCTTATTTTTGAGCAACTTATGAGCTTGAAAATCATCCAGAAGAGCATCAAAGTACTCTTAGTTGTTTCCAGAATCAACAGCCACTGGAAGAATGACGCTTGCCCATGTATGGCCCCTTGCTGGGAGCATATCTCCAACAGGATAGGTCCTCTTCCCCAAGCCCAATGCCTCCTCCCTCCCCTTGACCCTGGGATCTACCCTGGCTCCCTCTCCTCTCTGTGTCTGCTTCCACTTCTTCTTTTCCTCTGGTGAGTTTCTCTTCTAGGTAAACTGCAAGCAGGAATGGATCCTTTTGCCTCCTGCCCAACCCTTTCCACTTTCCTTAATGGTCCTTAAATTATTTTCTTTTTGAGCAATGTTCTTTAACACAAGGAAACAAGCCACATGCATTAAACAAATCCATGCTTTGCAGATTTTAAGTCACGCAGAAGTATCTTAGTCGTTATTTATGGCTTCATGTTCCTGGTGCACTTATGTCAATGTCCAAAAGAAGAAGCAGGTTTTGGAATCAAGTCTTTTGATCTACTTGGATTCTTTTATTCCTGAGTGTGGTTTTTTTGGTGTTGTTTTTTGTTTTTGTTTTTGTTTTTGTTTTATTTTGTGTGTGGGGGGGTTTGTTTGTTTTTTTGTTTGTTTGTTTGTTTTTTGCTCCGCCTCAGACCTCAGGTTTTATCACGAGTTCTTTATGTCTCTATGAAAAAGTTTGCAGCCTAGGGCAGGGGTCACCAAGGCATAGCCCACAGCTTGCTTTTGTAAATGAATTAAGACTGGAATACAGTCACATAGGTTTTTTGGTTTTGGTTTTGTTTTTGTTGTTGTTGTTTTTGTTTTGTTTTGTTTTTATCTCTGTTAGACACCAGAGAAAATTCACTAGGAAATAAAAAACTGTTTTTAATTATTAGATCAATGAAGTGATCCCACATTCAAGAGACCCATGAGCATGTCTGGACCATTCTAGAAGGATATGGTTTCTCCACCTCATAGCTGTCTATCTTTTCTCTAAGAAGGTCAGATGACGTCCATTGATTAAAAGCAATCTGTTGGGGTTTTCTAGAACGGTTAAGCAATGATATAGCATCACTAGAAAAGGTCCACAGGACCCAAGTGGGTCTACACATTTTGATGCAAAATTTATTCTTTTTTTGCTGTTAAAAATATTAAAACAGAATGCTACAGTTCTTCCTAGAAATTCCCAGGATCCTCATATCCCTTTTATAAAAACAAAACATTTTAAGTACACTTTCAGAAAATAAGAAACATTTCTCTTCAAGGTAAGGATGCTCTAAAACATGAATGGGGAGAAATGGATAAACCGGTAGCGTATTATCTGACTCAGAGAAGATGCTCATGGCTGTGCCAAATCATATTTTTCTTAGTAAGTCACACCGAACAAAAAAAGAAGATAAATCACCATGAAAATGCAAGTGAGCTGGTAATAATAGCCTAGTTATAGCTGCCATGAAATAGTCATTAAGTTATATGCAGCATAAATCTCACTGAGTTTTGTAAATTATGGTGGTTTCTAGAGGCCAAATAAAGATAAACCATACAAATGATGGCTGCTTTTCTCTGTGCTCCTTGGCATGACTTTCTCAAACGCTTAAGCTCAGGCTCATAGGACCATATGTTTCTTGAAGCATCTGAGAAAGCGTTAAGGTTCACAACTCCATCAAGACCCCTCTTTCACATCTTAAAGGTGATTGTTCCTAACCAGCCCTTCTCTGCACTCTTGCCTGGTTCTGGCTCACACTCAGTCTGGACAGGCTTCCGGCTCAAGCCTTACACTTCTAGCTGCTCCTGTTTCCAAGGCATATTGGAAGAGCAGGTGCTGGAGATGGGCAGCACTGGCAGGCTGAACTGGCTGCTGGCTGTTCCAGCCAGCCCCGGAGACCAGCAATAAAATCCCACTCTCTGCCTTCCTCAGTAGACCGGCACATTAGCAAGACTCCGATCCAAAGATGCCCAGGAAAATGTTCCTTTTCCTCCCTTTTGAAGGTTGGTGGTAATCCCCAGTTGATCTTTCCTCGCAACTGCTTTTTTCCCCCTGCTATTTAAACTGAATTCTTATTGCTCCAAATTAAATCCATTCTTTCTGGCCTTGTCATTGCTAACTAATGAGAACAATTCCTCTCTTTGCTCCTGGTAGCTGCACTTTGGGTACTTATGGATGAGAATCATATCCTTTCTTAGCCTACTTTCCTAACTGCAGACCGCACAGGTGATAAAATGGGTTAATTGTTGCTATAAAAATATTTTCTATCCTCATAACAAAGTAATTTTTTCCTCCAAATCATTTTAATTTCTTGGAATTGCACTGTGTTCTTAATAATCTGCAGTGACTGAGGTTGCAGTCCTGTTGGGCTTAGATATACAAGCAAAATGTTGGATATGCAATACACATGAATAGAGCAATCCTGGCTGATTGTGCTATCTCCTTTTTGCCCCACCCACTCTGGCCTCCGTTTTTATCATGGTTTTTACACCTGTACGAGGAAGTCTGTAGCCTAGAGCAGGGGTCATCCAAGTACAGCCTTCAATCTGCCCCCTTTTTTTTTTTCTTTTTTAAGGAGGTTCCATGCCCAGTGTGAAGCCCAAAGCAGGGCTTGAACTCACAACCCTGAGATCAAGACCTGAACCAAAATCAAGAGTCAGATGCTGGACCAACTGAGCCACCTGGGCCCCCCTGCAGACTGTTTTTGTAAAACAAATTTTTATTGGAATATAGCCACATACATTTCTTAAAAGCATGTTATCTGTGGCTGTTTTCACATTATAATGGCAGAGCTGAGGGGCTCTCGCAGAGACTGTATCACTTGTGAAGCCCAAAATACTTGCCGTCTGGCCCTTTACAGAAACACTTCGCTGACCCCCAGCACAGGTGGTCAACTAGTAAAACCCAACTGGGCTTTACTACTTGTACCAGGTTCGGGCGAAGTACTGTGTAAATCTCTCATTTACACCCAGGCAGTCTGCTAAACATTTCACGGCAGTCCAAACCACACAGCCGGGAAGGGAGTCTGGACTGAAAGCGTTTCTCATAGTTTATCCCCGAAGTACCCCACAGGCATCAAGGTTCACTTCTTAAAGGGACAAAAGAGGCTTGACACAGAGACTAACCCAGGGCTACGGCTCCAACACATGTAGGCAATTTTTACTATCATGTGCCCCTTTGCTGAGTCCATCTAGAACGTTCTGTTGCATTCATCTGGCTCAACGACTCACACCAGCAGAAAGACAAAGAAATCCAGGCCAAGGCCTGGTACTCACTATGTGAAGCTGGAGGAAGTCGCCGAGGCCCGGGGCACTGTCGATGCGCACCAAGATGCCATCCTTCACGGTGGTGCTGAAGCCCACGGCCAGGCGGTCCGAACGCGTGCTGGGCCGATCATTGGCCGGCCAAGTGTAGAGGATGAGGCCTCCGCTTTTCCCAAAGATGTACGTAGCGCCAGCTGCGAAAGCAAGGAGAGAGGGAGCCATCAGGGCATGTACCGTGTGTCCCCAAGCTACAGGCACACTGTGGATATTCTGCACAGACAGCTATGGAGAGGAAAGGACCCCCACACACGGGTGCTATTTGGTTACTGAGAGGGATGGCATCCAAGGTCTCGGATGGTGGCTGTCACCCTAAATTAAAGATGCAGGCAAAATGAATGAATAACAAAGCAGATGTTAGCGAGAGACACCCCTAACATCTTCACTTCCCACTGTATAATGGCAGAGGACAAGTAAGATGCTGTGTCTGGAAACGTGGGTATGTTGTGACAAACAACTTTTCCGATCTCAGCAGCAGAATGAATTTTCCATCTTGGCTAGGACAGTCATAAGAGAGAATATTAGTCCCCCAACCTCTTAGCTCCCAGAACATTCTGGTCTGTGTTGTTGGGAGCCATTCCAGGAATGCCTTGCAAGACTGGACGTAAGGTGTAAGTCCAAAGCCATCATCCTTTTCACACCTGGACCTGCTACCACCCCCACAGAAAAGCAAGCTGGAGCCTGAGAAAATCAAGTTCTGCATTTTCCTATTTCACTCTTACATTGCTATAAAAAATGTGAAAAAAATTAACTCCAGAAGCCTTTTAAAAATTAATTTATTTCCCTAGTGATGGTATTTATCTAGTATAATATAACAGCTTCCCTCTCTTCTCCAAACTAAATTTCAAAAAGGAAATATAGAAGACATAGAAAAAAAAAAAACTCACAAGAACGAATTTGGAACATAAATGGTATTGCCACTTAGGAATAGTGGGTTTATCAATGTTTTTAGTATTTCTGCCTTTTCACTCTTATTATTTACAAAGCCAGAGATTAGTAAGATTATATTAATTTAAAAATACTCAGAAAACAAACAGGAAGAAAAATAAAGAAAATATCTGCAATTCATAAATCTTAAAAGTCTGTTGTTAAAAACGAGTTTTTAAATCTAAATTTGGAAGGAAGCATTCAGATTTGGTAGCCGGAACAGACTACATCACTGTAGTTTCTATGGCCATCTGTCTGTTCCCCATAGTGAGTACTTCCATACGTTACTCATCTCAAAGTTCAAAGACTATTTGACAGCAGATCTTCTGTGTGTTCCCACTGAACATGGTCCAATTCTTAAAACTATTTTAAAGCAACATTAGATAAGCATTCAGATTTCTTCAACTTTCCTAAAAATCTCCAGTACTGGCTCACATTTAGTCTACAGGGAATATTGGGTTGAATTATGTTGTATGAAGAAAAAAAAGAGTTATGCAACTTATTTAGAAATTATAAAGTCAACTGCTACAAGGCTAGAATTAGGTGTATATGTCATAGGTCATCCTTATTTTAAGCATTAAGCCACATTGTACTCTGCGGCATATAGAATCTAATTTGTCCTTTTTTCAAATGTCACTATTCCAGTCCCTCCAGTATGCCCAGTTTGTATATTACATGTAGCATAACATTATCTTCCTTCTATGAATGTCTGGATCCTGAGGTGATAGCATCTAATAAGACCTCTGCTGTCATCTGGAGAATTTCGGATTGTGGTGTGAAAGTTTATGGTTAATTCTATATGTAAAACCATATTTGCTCCTCACCATGCACAGATACCCTCAATGCTTCTTAAAATTAGAAATATGGACATCATGATTTACCCTTGATGTCTATCCATCTGTGAGGAATTTAAAAAATTCCCTTTCCTGTAGATGATTACAAATGTCATCGACACCCTCTTCATTCTTTATTTGGAAAACTGAAGGTTACTCAGTGATCAATGTATAGAATCACCAAAAATGCAAATCACCCTGTGACATTTTGTGGCAATTTATAAAATCTTACCCTATTTTATCCCAAATATGTAGTGGATTCTGGTACAGAGATAAATTCATACTCTATCAGGAAATTATTTTATCACTTTATTACAAAAAGAACAAGTCCAAAGTTGATAACAGCAACACATATGCCTGGTGTTTTACAATTTAAAAAACTTTTTCAAATTCATTAGCTGGATCTTCATGACAGTTCTATGGGATATTTCGTTTGTTAACAATGTTTGGAAACAGAGACCCGAGCTTCTGCCTTAAATAAATGGCACCTCTTCAAGTCTCCTGCCTTCCCTCCTACCTCCAAAAGCCTGTCTTCACCATACGCCAATTATAGCTTAATAAAATTATACCATAAACTATACCAGTGGTGATGCAAAGTTGACTATACTTTATTCTTTTCCCATGTTCCTATAAGACCAAAATAGAATGAAAACAAAGCCATAGCTTCCAAACATGGCATATTTTCAAAAGCTAGTCTGGCCTTCTAACCATACAAATAAATGTACAAACCTTCTACTCTGCTTATATCTTTTATCCACTGACTGGTCGGTAATTCTCGATATAAAGAATATAAAGAGGAAGAATGTTTTAAAAGATAAATACACAACTTCTTATATCTAGTGGGTAGGAGGTCATCATGGCTTTACATTTTAAATAAAGAACAAAACCTCACTATGATAACCTCAGGGTAGATCAAAAATCAGTCTTAAAAATTATTTTGATTGCTTTTTTGTTCTGAATTTAGGATGCCACTATGTTAGAGCATTCTAACTTTGTAGATGGAAAAGGGTAAAAATGTACAAAGCCCTAAGCATATAGCTTATATGGCCATGTGGCAATAAATCTTAAAATATGTATTTTTTATATCAAATGTCCTAGGAAGGGTAAATAAAGACCCTGAATGCTCCCATAGTTCAATGTTGGCTTTAAAGCAAGTTAATTAATATTTACAACTCTCTACCCTGAAAACCTGTTATTTTTTATCCTTCTTTAGTTAGCTTTGCTATTTTGCATGGTTTTTAAAGATAAATATGCACTTTCTGCTAATTTTAATATAAAATGCCTAGAGTCCTAGGGGGAACATGGACTTATTTTGCTTTACATTTTCAAATTAAAAAGTTAATTTTGTTATTTTAAAATGTGGCTTGCAAATCAACATTTGGGGAACATCCTAAGAACTGTAAGAACCCTCCTTAATCCATTAAAGATTTTCATTTCCAAGCCATGCAATATCACATCACATGCTTTCCCCCTGAGCCTAGTTTCTCTGACTATTGGTTTCTTGCTGTGCTAAGTAGGCTGGTGCAAAGATCATACTCCATTTATTAATAATCAGAACCTTGCTGGCAAAAAGTGATCAATTCAACTGAAGAAAAACTGCTATGGTGTCATTTTGACAATTTAACATTGTAGGATTTGCAAGTTTGCAAGCATCTGAGATTGCTGAATGCCAACCACAGAGTATTTCAGGAATGACCTCTTCACATTGTCACCTTAACCAAGATATGTATACACACTGTTTTCAAACAGTCAACCAATCTACCATGTTATTTAATATGCAACTTCTTTTGTTTCAAAAGCACCAAGAAATGGGTTTTTATAATTGGCGAGCTATTTACTGTAATGGGGCTGATGGTGATTTTGGCAGAGACAGGTATGTGAGGGTATGGAATAAGTATGTTTTGGGGTGTTTTCTGTGTGTGGGATTCATTGGGGGGAAGATGAGCATAGGACAGGCTCCACCGAGATCATTAAGGACTCCTGGGAAACAGTTTTATGTAGCTTTACAACAAGCTGGTTAAACAGATGATTGATGGTTTCTCAATGAAAATAAAAGATAAAATTTTTTCTAGGTGATACATTTCTCCAAGAAATAGCTCTTAAATCTGTGGCATATATTACTGCTTATTTTACTAAAATTTAATATAATTATTGCTGGCAACTTAACACTTCCTTATTTAGACCATTTGGATAATTATTACTTCTGTTGTTTTGACTTCTTAACCTCATGGTCCTGTCATTATGATACTGTTTTCTATTCTTATATCCAAGTAGCATATTATTTCTTTTTGGTAATTACCAATAGAAATAGAATAATAGACTTGTTTAGGATTTATATTTGATATAAAAATAATAATTAGGTGCCTTGTTAGCACAGTAGGTAGGGCATCAGTCTTATAAAAATAATATATACATACATATGTGTATGTATATACATATGCGTATCTGTGTGTAAGAAATAAGGAAAGTTTAGTTAGAAAACATAGTAGACTACCTGGAATTAATTTATTATTTTCTTCATCAAATAATTATAGATAAAAGGCTCCAGAAATGCATCTAAATGTAATGTTGGTTGTTTAATTATGTCTAAAAAAAAAAAGAAACCAAAGCAAATCAGCTTTCCCTGAAATAATTTTTGGTTGGTGTTGAAACAGAACAATGTGAGCATCTCCCAGGGGAAACCTGAGAAAATTAAATTTAAAGCAAACTAGATCATTTACGCAGGGACAAATATAGCATGTAGAATAATAAATTGAGTAATAAAGTGAATATAATCCTTGCTGAGCAAACCATCTGGTAGGTAAACCAGGGTAAGAAACAAGAAGTCAGACCCCTTCTCCAGTGCTCTTTGAACACTGCCTGAGAACTCAGTGTAAAATCTCATGACGTCAAGGTACTATACCTGCCTTCATATCTATGACTCTGGCCCTTCGTTCCTCATTTCTATTGTAATACTCTTTCATCAACCTTAGCCACGTTTGTGTTCTTTACTGTGAATTGGTAAATCCTTTTGGAAAACAGATGGACTATCAATGGCATAAAATATATCTCGTCTGTAGAAGTAGTTATTGCTCCTCACTTAAAACTACCTTTTATTCAGATCAATTAACCAGATAGCTAACACAACCAAAATGGAAAGACGGAAATGACCCATAACTCTCCTAGCAAATGGAGATGTAAAGCTCAAGGATCTCAAAAACACTAATGGTCTGGGGAAAAAAAAAAAAAAAAAAAAAAAAAAAAATATATATATATATATATATATATATATATATATATACACATAGTTTCTTTGTTTCTTTTGCTCAGTTCGCTCTATAGTTCCCCTTACACACACCCCTGGCTGTTCGGGGAGTGATCATCACAGCAGGACCTTC